GGGGGGTCAGGGCTGATGTTCCACAGGATCATGTTTGTGTCCGAATAGTCAGTCATGTTCGTCAGTCTGGAGCCAAATAGTAGAAATTTAACTCTTTTTGATCGCATTTGGCCTGGAGAATTTCACTTGGCTCTCTGGCTCTTTTTTTGGCTCCAAACTCAAAATGTTCAAGAAGTAGGGGAAAGAAGAGGCGAGAAAAAAAGAGAAAAAGAAAGAATAAAGGGAAAAAAATGAAAGTGAAGAAAAGTGTTTGGATGACTTAATTATTAAACTACAGATTTCAACATAAGTTAAGGACCACCTTGACAGACAGCCCTGATTATTAAAAAATTGGGAAAAAAAGACAGCAAAGAATGTTTCAAAATTGTTTGCTCTGAAAGTGTTAACCCTATCCATATGCCCTGAGGTCATTTTGTACCCCCGGAGTTGTATTCTTCACATTTAAGAATACTTCTAGTGCAAAGATCTCTGAAACTTTTAGTATTTCTCAAAAAATCATTTTGCTATGCAAAGTGTACAGATCGGATTAATAAGTAAATTTCCTCTTTGGAAAGTGGTGGCACAGAGTTCCCAACGTCGTATGGATACAATAGTAAAACACGACGTACAGATAGGGTTAATGGGTTATTAATGCGTACTGCAAAGCTTCTTAAGGAGCAAAACCATCATGTGCAGCACAGAAATCCTCTTGGAATTTTCGCCAAATTTGCTGTTTTTTATCAACTTATAAGTTAAAGTTTCTGGGGCAAGTTATAAACGGACATTCGGTCTCGAAATGTGCTCACTTTGGTGGCAATAAAAACCGCCGTTTGCCAAAAACCCATATCACATCAGCATGCCACCGAGATGAAAGCTGAGAGACTTAGACGGGGCCAGAGCTATGGATTTGCTGTAGGATGGAGTTGGAGTCCAAGATGTTGCCAAAAGGCTTGCAGAGTCACACTTTGTGATTGTCTGCCTCAGGTAGAACCATCAAGCCACTGGATCAGTCCAAGAATGCCCACGTACAGGTCGACCCAAGAAGACTACTCAGAGTGTTTGCAAGTGGTCCTTAACTCATGTTGAAGTCTGTAGTTAACACAATTTAACGCCCTCGCCCATTTGGTCTGAATAGTTTACTTGCCAACGCCTACTCTAAACAGGCCTAGCACCCGAGCTTACTGATAAGGGCTTATGGCCCGATCGGTCAGTATGTAATAAAGCAGGCATTGTTTACAACCCTTCTTTCGTCTTGCAAGAGACTTGCCAGCGTTGGCAATTCTGACCTGGTGTGAAGTAAGACCCGTTTTTCCTAATTTCGGAATACTTTCTATCGGTGTGGGAGATCAAATTGAAAAAAAACAACAACAAAAAATGTTATAGCATAGAAGTAAACTAATTTGGCGGTCTTCAAAGATGCTAGACCTTCGGCTATTTCACTTTTCGAATCGAACCGAACTATGCCGGTCGTCATTTTGTTTTACCCGGAAGATCTCGCTAGATCTACTCCTTCTGTCTCTCTCTCTCTCTTTCAATACCCGCAGACAAAATTGCACGCTTTTAACACAAGAGCGCTCAAACATTTTTTAGACCACAGAATTCCATAAGTGTAGAATTCTGTGGTTTACGCACACTGGGAGAGAATAGCCAAAAGGCTCGCCCTCTCACCTCTGGTGAAAAGCCTACAACTGCGTTATTCTCACCCCGGGTGAGAATAGAGGTGGCCTGATCAACCCTCATCCTGCTGGGGCTAGGTTTATTTCGCCCAATACGCCTATTTCGACATCTCACCTTCGTTCCGGTCCCGTGTCAGTCCGGCCCCTGGCTCAGCGAAGGTGCACCGAGCATCATCCCCGTTCCACTCAGGTCCCGCGTCGGACCCGCATTCATGCAGCTCATGTGTGTGTGTGTGTGTCAGTCTGCTTGAATTTGTGTGCGTTTGTGGCCTACTTCTAGAACCGCCTGCGTTGGTTCGTAACCGAGGCATACGTCTCATTTAAAACACGCCAAGTTGGAAGCTCTAGATGTCCAATGAAATTAGAACAAATTGACCCTCTACAACATGCTAGAGGAGCTCGAAAGGATCAGGAAACAAGACTTCTATATATACAAAATCTTTCAACAAGATTTTTTATGAAATGATACTAGGCCTACCTTATAAAAAATAAACTTGTCTTGTTTGATAGTTTTGAATACCATTGTGCAGGTAAAAAGAACAATTTGAGTGCAAAACATTCAGAAATTGACCTACTATCCCATTTCGAACCTCAGATCATTCATAACAACAAGAGCGTCTAAAAAGGTTATTTGAATATGGGCGTAACTACTCGTAATGTCTTATCAGCTTATGAGAGGCGGTTATTCATGTGTGCGTAACACTTTATAAATAGAAAGCTATAAAAGATAGAGGGTTATTTTCATCATCCATTAACACACCCCCTCGGTACTAATGGCGAAAACACGTTCAAGACCCACTGGCTGTACACCAACAGTAACACACTGAGTGACCCCGGCGGCCTGCCCGGAATGTCCGACAAAATTGGTTGCTGATAATATTCGCATCTCAGCACAGACGCAGGATAAGGGTTAATAGGCCATAAAGCTACTGTAGACTAGATCTATAACAGAGCAAGTGGCTATTCTCCGGCATCGCGCCGGTGAATAAATCGGAAGCTATTTTCCAGCGTCACGCCGCCGGTCTATTACTAATAATTTGTCGGCGCAGATTTGTAATACCTCTCTCATCTGTTTGTCTTGGGAAAAAATTCCCATAACTTCACCACTTCGAGCCATTTCCATTGATACAGGCGATAGGTTTTCAGACACAAACTTCCACAATTCCTCCAATTTAGAATTTTGTTGGGTGCTAGAAGAAACGTGTTCACAACTATTGACGCGAGTTCATAAAAAAAAGAATGAGTATAAGAAGGAGTCACATTTTCACAGTTTACAAAAGGGAGATACAACAAGAAAGCACTGAAGTCGCGACATGTCAGTTAAATTGATAGAAAATTACAACAACAAGAAATAAGTTAACGAAGTGACTATTCGGACTCGAGTCCGAATATGAAAAAATGTTATTTGGACTCTGATTCTTGTCCAGCATGACATCACTTCCAACTTCCTGTGACTCGTGACTCCTGCTTCCTGTCCTGCCTCACTCGTGACTCGCCTCAGGCTGGGTAGAGACCGGGATCACTTCAGGCAAAATGGCGTTAAATTGTGCCGGAGCCGAGTTTTTATCTTATGATGAATTTGAGGCCGGCCTGAAAAGTTAGAGCGCTTCTAATAAATGTTTTGTTTGTTTGTTTAGTATAGGGTTTTACGGCGCTCGCAACTGCATAAGGTCATATGAGCGCGCGGGACACACCTAATACTTTTTCGTTGGTAGGAAATTTTGAATTTTGCCCGGGTGGCGGCCGAAGCCTACTCTTATCGATTTTAGACCACCAAGGGATCTTTAACGTGCGCAACTTGCACACGGGCCCTCCGAGATTTTTCGCCCTTGTCCGAGAAGGCTAGGTGTAGATCTTTCCTACCAGAAGATCAGGGGTGTGGCAGAAAGACAGCAGTTAGGAGGAGCCAAGGAGTAGCAGTAGAAAGGCTGCAGAAAGAGTCATGAGCCCAGAGGTGGGGGCAAAGGAGGTGAGGGGGTGGGGGCAGAAAGTGGAAATGAAAGCAGACAACAGAACATTGTAGAGATCAGGAAAGGATGTGAAAGGAAACAATTTTAGAGAAGAAAATTTTTTGGTCGCTACCCGGAATCGAACCTGGGACCTTTGAATAAGAGGCCAACACCTTAACCTCTAGGCCACGAGAGCCCCCCAATAAATGTTTATTTGTCAAGAGGTCATCAGAAGCAATTAAAGATGGCTCGTTAGAGTGTGTCGGGGTCGGATGGGCGGCCTGCACATGTGTGGCTGTGTGTGCGTGTCGGGAAAGGGGGGGGGGGGCGCTATCGTTTCGGGCGTTGAACGTCGCATACGCGTCAGTCCCCCCCCCCCCCCCCCCGGCAACTGATCATTATTACAATAATAAGCTAGTCTTGATGTAGATCTACGTAATGAATTGTGTGCTGGTCTATGGAATCAAAAGTTGCCGTATGCTCGGCTCTACACAGCAACACAACTTTTTCTTGGTAAACAATCGAAATGACACAGGTTTGTGTATTTTAACGAATTGGTCTTTTTTTTTTTTACACAGCTCACAATATGCAGGTGCCAGGAGATCTGCTAATCTTCAATTTTACCTTTTTCTACAACAAAGAAAGTGGGAAACATGGGGGGGGGTGGGGGGGGGTCGTATCAATGAGGCGGCGGGCATCGGATCAGCAGACAAGGTGTGGGTGAAACTAAAAAATGGCGGAAAATTGGAAGCACTGAACGTTAGATCTAAAGAACGAAGACACTTCCTTTTTTCCGGACCCGTGTCCGAATAACATTTTTTCTTATTCGGACTCGAGTCCGAATAATGACGGCCTGTATTAAACAGCAAGCTGGACAGGATTTTAGAAACAAAATCAATTTTTTTCGTTTAAATAAACAGAATCATTATTTTAAAATAAGCAAATGGACGATGGAAATAAACGAATAAAGTAATGTTAGACAATTACCATAGATAAAATATACAGAGTGTTTATAGATCTAGATCTAGATAGATCTAGATCTAGATCTAGATAGATCTAGATCTAGATCTAGATCTAGATCTAGATCTAGAATCTAGATCTAGATCTAGATTAGATCTAGATTTCTAGTTATATTTTGGCCCACAGCCACAGGGGCCAGGGGCATATAAAATCCCCTAGAATTAGAACATTTATTAATTGCCCACAAAATTGCGAGTTATCTCCCCTGTGTTTGACTTGCATAAAAAAAACAAAGCAAGCAACAACAAAAAATAACCCACAAGTACTTACAGTTAAGATTAAGAGCGAATTCTGAATTCTGACAGGATAGGAGGAATGTTGTTCCTGTCTGCATGCCGCCGTGCGTTTGTTTATGTGTTTGCATAAAAAGTTGGAACAGTGTTTTCTTCTGGAGCATGAGATATATAGGCTTCCATATATATAATATATATTATTTTTCCATTTATTTTCACAACAGTGTCTCTTTCTTTGCAGCCTGTTACTTTTTCACAATAAAACAAAATATAAAATTCAGTTAGGATGAAGTTCTCTCTTTTTATGTAACGCAAAGTTCTAGATCTAGACTAGATCTAGATCTAGATCTAGATTTAGAAGCAAATTATTTTCCTATGAAATATCATGTTCTTCTTTGGTTGGTATTTTTAATAACCCAGTCTTTCAATATGGCGACTACCATGAACAAGGCTGTCCTTGGATTGAGAGCGACAGGAATATTTCAAGGAAGATCTAATAAGTGTCTGACATGGAGCATTGCTCAAAGAAGTGTAAGTATGCACAGTGTTGGTAATTTTGGAATTGAGAAAAGGGAAACGATGACTAGATTCTAGATCTAGATCTAGATCTAGAAGTTCTAGAATCTAGATCTAGACTAGAAATCTAGATCTACTTGCGGCTATCTGCTGGTTCAGTTACTTCTGAAACAGTGCTGTAAATGGAAGTGGCTATTCTCATCCGGGGTGAGAATAGAAAAACGATCTACCTCTCACCCCGGGTGAGACTTGCCAGCGTAGGCTATTCTCACCCGGTGCAAAACAAGACCTGCTTTTCCTCATTTTGGAATACTGTCTATCGGTGTGGATGATCAAATTGATAAAAGCCTTAATTTGCCTTAAAAAGCCAAGAAAAAATTACGTTATAGCACAAAAGTAAGCTAATTTGATCGTCTTCAAAGGTGCTATGGCTATTTCACTGTTCGAATCGAGCCGAACTACGCGGGTCGCCATATTTTGTTTTCCCCGGAAGTTCTCGCAAGATCTACTCCTCCCCTCTCTCTCTCTCTCACTCTCTCTGTCTCTTTCTGAATACTGTCTATCGGTGTGGACGATCAAATTGACCAAAACAAAGTTAAAAAATGATGTTAAAACACAAAAGTAAAATAATTTGGTTGTCTACAAAGATGCTACGGCTATTTAACTTTTCGAATCGAGCCGAACTACGCGGGTCGCCATTTTGTTTTGACCGGAAGTTCTCGCGCTACTCCTCTCTCTCTCTCTTTCTCTCTTTCTCTCTCCACTGCCCACATACAAAATTGTACGCTTTAAGTAGGCTACAGTTGTAATGGAACGTTTGTTCACGGCACAGAATTCTACAATTTTTATGTTATCACAGTGTAGAATTCTGTGGTTTAGGGTGAACGCAAAATTTGTTGGCCTAGATCTAGGCTATAACGGTGAACGCGCACCGGGTGAGAATAGCCAAAAGACTAGCCTGCACTATTCTCATCCCGGGTGAGAATAGAGGTGGCCGCTGTAAATATAGAGCTCTAGAATCTAGATCTATATTAAGCTTAACGAAGTGACTATTTCTCCAGGAAGATTGAAGAATACCGAACCACTCGTACATTATTGCGCGAGAAAGTGGGGTAGGTGGGGGCGGGTGGTTGGGGTGGAGGAAGAGGGTTAAGGGGGGGTCTCCCCCCTGACCTGACAAAATTTTAATGAATAGATCTACCGGTCCGAGATTCTCCATTGAGAGATATTAAAAACGGGAAAATTATGAACTCCTAAGGTTGAGACATGGGCAAAGTCAGTCCGCTGGTCCGGTATTCTTCAATCTTACCATTTCTCCGAACGTTCGGAGAAATAGTGCCGATCTTTATTTCTCCGAAATGCGTGAAACTGAAAGAGAGGAACGACTCATGAGCCCTGGAGTGAATGGATCCTGTGTTTCTATTTTTGTATACTTTGAACTGTTACTGAATAAAGGCTGAAATAAAGCCCGAAAAACACACACACACTCCTCACTCTCCACTTACACACTTACTACATCACACACGCACATGCATACACACACACACACACAGGAGCAAATTTTTGGGTCAATGTCTATTTCAATTTTCAAGAACTAGTCTAGAGATTTTTAGATGAGTGTAAAAATGGGGAAAAAAAGGTTTCACAACAGAATGAAATCAAAATTAGTCGAACAGCCCATAAACAACCACAAAAATTAACAAATAAGGGTGTGTGTCCACCTGTCCGAAGAAGATTGGCTGTTTTAACCCTAAATGTGCGTAAATTTTTTTTTTAAGTACAGCCTGATATTACATGTAAATTATGGAATCACACACATTAAGGGGCCTGCCAGTGTCAGTATATGTAATCGGCTTTGGTGGAACGTACGCTCTAACATAACACATTTAAATCTATATATATACATGTATATATATATGTAGAATCTAATGAAGGTAGGAACATCAAATTAAATTACGTTAAACTATGCAACATTCCCCCCCCCCCCCCCCTTTTCCCCAACAAAAAAAATTGATAGAAAAACAACACATCAGAACAATAACAAGAAAAAAAATTATAAACACTAACAAAATAAAACACCACAAAGAGTCAAAGAGGGAAAAATAAAAGTAACTAACGTATTCAACAAATCAACGTGGTGACAACAAGTGAGAAAGAGACTAAGTGAAGCTAAATGAACTTTCTTTCGAAAGTAAAGAGGTTCGGTTTCTTTCTTTTTTTTTCTTTTTTTTTTTAATTTGACTTTTATTCCCCGACCACAAAAAGCCAAAAAATCGAGCCACGATTGATTGGTCGCGGCCGCGACAAACGCAGAAGCTAGTTCTTTGTGTTGTTATCAATAACCCTCCCTAGCTCTAGATCTAGACAGCACACGAGTGAACACAACACATTAAGTTTAAGAGCAGCACCCTTCATAGGCAACACGTCATATCTCTAGCGAAAAACTGTTTGGAACTGTAGCATTTCTTTACATAAATATTTACTGCGGACATTTTTTGGACCGATTGAACCATATTGTATACGAACAATCTTTGGTAGGCGTATACTCTATATAATTCCGAAATTTGCGGGAAAGGATGTGATTTCAGAGTGTTCTGAGAAATAGTGCCCAGCTTTATTTTCCCGAACGCTCGGAGAAATAGTGTCCAGCTTTACTTTGCCGAACGTTCGGAGAAATAGTGCCGGCCTAGCTTAATCGGAAGGACTTCCTTAATGAGCGACCATCCCAACAAATACAATAAAGAAGAGACCAAGATCTACCCCATACCCTAAACCCAACCCTTACCCCTTCCCTACACCTTAACCCTACCCCACACACTAACCCTCTATTATACCCTGGTTCATTTTGGTCGCTCGTTACGGAATTCCTCCCGCTTAATCTACCCCTCGCTGTTGGAAATTATGATGGCCGAATGGACAGCGTGTCTACATTTGAAATAATACAAATTTTATGAACGTGGGATCGAATCCCGATCTCGCAATGTTTGGTTTTTTCCCAAGCCTCCCTTCTCCTCCTCCCGACTGACCAACAATTTTTTTCCCATAATTATAATTTTTTGTTTTGGAGTGTCTACGTAAACGGTAACCTGGCACCTAGCCTCAGTGTCTACATACACAGTAACCAGCTACCGGGCTCGTAGTCTCAGTGTCACGTACACGGTAACCGGGCATGTAGCCTCAACATCTACGTAACCAGCAACCGGGCACGTAGTCTCTCTATCACGTACACGGAGAGTGAAAGTGAAAGAGAGAGAGGGGGGGGGAAGGGAGAGAGAGAGAGAGGGTGTGTGTGAGAGAGAGAGGAAGGGAGGGAGAGAGAGAATGAAAAAGGGAGAGAGAGAGAGAGTTGGAGGGAGAGAAAGAGAGAGAGTGTGTGTAAGAGAGGTATAATTTCAATTCGAGCTGTGTTTGTAACTTGGCTTATGATGTTATTTCTTATTTTATCACTGACCTAGTTCCGTTTAGTCTAGTTCTAGAGTGAGAGTAGCAATAATAGTTCTACCAATCCACCCCTTCCTTCTCGCTCATCGGGATCAGGTGCCTGACCAGGGACCATGATGCTGAAATGAGTGAGGAATTTGATCTGATGACTGATAAGTTGGAGAAACTGAGTCTCTTCTCTCCTCTTTCTTTCTCTTTCTCTCTCTTTTTCTCTCTCTCTCTCTCTCTGTCTCTCTCTCTGTCTCTCTCTCTCTCTCTCTCTCTCTCTCTCTCTCTCTCTCTCTCAACTGTGTGACAAAGAATTCTTTCTTAACATGACAAAATGACAATGATTATTAGCCTACATGATTTGGGATGACTGTTCCATAGCTAAACTATTTTTACAGGCTTAAACTAGCAGGATGTGTATGTGTGTGTTTGTTCAATCTGAATTATTTTTACAGGCTTCATGGACAAAGTTTTTCAGGGGCTCAAAGTCAAAAGATGATGATGAGGACAAGGAGGTGTTGGAGGTGAAGCCTAGGAAGGTCTCATTGGCCGATGGGCCTACTACTGCAGCCAGATTGGGTTCTCTGGAAAAAAAAATGTAAGCTAATGTCATGACTGCCCATAATTACATTACAAATTTTTGGCAGAATCCTTACATCTTTTATTCCATTTTACAAAAATACAATTGTAATACCCCAAATAAATTATGATTTTTTTAAAGTTTCAGTTTCCCCAACCTTCCCAATGTATAGGAGAGAAAAACTACCAGATCTTGACAGTCTACGTCACATGCAGTTCTCCGATTTCACTTTTTTAATGAACGCATGATTTCAACATGATGCCACACATAACTTCAGTTATGTAAGCCTATATAAATGCAAGCACTATTTTTTATTATAATTATTGCCCATGCGTTTAATTATTAATTATGTCTTTTCAACCTTCTTGAAACTAAGTTAAAATACTAGAGAAAGGCAGATAAAGACGAGGAGAAAAAAAAACTTTACTGGAAAAGAAAGTAGCAAAACCGCAACTAGTAAATTGGTAGTGGGCAATCTACATGTAATAAAATAAAAGTGATCTCATTGGGTAATCATTTAATACAGTATTTGTAAACTTGTTCCCCCGTCTATAACAAGATTCAGTTATAACAGGGACTTAACGTCAGTCCTGGTGGTCCTGTTATTGGGGTGAATGGGGGGGGGGGGGGGGGCGCACTGCGATTAGACTGTCAAAAACAACCTCCTGACTAAAACTGACACTTTTCTCCTCGGCAATGGGTGGCTGTCTTGGACAATATTGACTGTATTTATGCTGCTACAAAGACCAACTTGTTATTTCACCGGATCTGTTGTATTCACATTATGCATGTGTGTTCAAATGATAAATTGAATGTCTTATTATTTTTTTTAGCTTGGAGGCCAGCTTCCACTAGTAGATCTAGTTTTCATGAAAATTTAAGGCTAATATAATATATATGATTTTTTGTCAAATATAATTGAGATCAATAATAATCATTCTTACATGGATGGTTGGAGTCAAGAGCCGCTGGTAGATTCTACTTTTTTCTTTTCCCTTTGTCTGTCATACTTTGTCCCATGCTAAATGATCATTATCAAGTGAATTTCAATATACACGCTTCTCTTTACTCAAACTGAAAGTCACACCCAGACAATGTCTTTATTTTTTCCAGTGGTGTGGTTTCAGTGCGTGGTTACAGTCCACCCCAAGAAGTGGAGGGGAAAATCCTGTCTACAGCGAAGAGCCTAGTTGGTTCAGATGTTTCCACAGACTTCAGACTCGATGACAGGATGCTCAGGTTTAAAGTATGTCTGTCCTCACATTTGTCATTTTTTTCAAAATTTTTGTTTTTGTCTATGATGACTATGGTCTCATTTAAAGTTATCATTGCTGTTCATGTCTAACTGCATCCACCAAATTAGGTGAGACTCTTTTTTTTGGTCTCAAGATATTCACGGCAGTAACTGCAAATGGAGTGATTACTGTAGTATGCAAAAAGAATGCTCTACTCAAAAAATTTTAGCAATTCTGGTTTTATGATTGAAAGAAGCAGACCTGACGTTTTTTGGCGGGGGTTTGTTCCACTAATCTGAAAATCAATGTTCGCGCACATACATGGTTTGAGTCGGACATGGATGAAATATTATCCTCACATTTGTTTTGGGACTATCAGATTTTCTTCAGCTTACCCTGGGTTTGGGTTTAGACAGGTTCCTTCTCAAGTGAAAGAGAAAAAAATTGGCATTTTATTTTCTTCCGGCTTACTAGTAGGCCTACTGCTATTTTAGTTTTAGGATAACTGTCTTCGTTTAAGCAGTCTCCTGAGTGGTTAAAAAAATACATTCAGTTTCTAGTAACATTTCCAAGCCTCGTCAAAATAAAAACATAAATAAAGGGAGTTAAGCTCAACTTTAAAATACACGCCCTAAATTTCTGTTTAGATGTTTCAAAGTGCATTTTTCTGAAAATTTGTTTCAGTTCTCATCTGTGGTTATTTTCGTTGTAATGCTGATAGTCAGCAATGTTTAACCCTATCCGTACGTCATATTTTACTATCATATCCATACGTGGGGAACTTTGCCACCACTTTCCAAAGAGAAAATTTACTCGTCAATCCGATCCGTACGCTTTGCATATCATCAAAATGATTGCAAAGAGATCTTCGTGCTAGAAGTATTCTTAAATGAAAAGAATACAACCCCGCTGGTACAAAATGATCCCAGGGCATACGGATAGGGTTAAACATGCTTTAACTTAAAATCCTTTTTTTTTTCTCCCCCTGGCTGCTGACTTGACTGATTTTTTTTTTTTTTAGTAGAGGGTTTTACGGCGCTCGCAACTGCATAATGAGCGCCAAGGGGTGGGTGTCAACAGAGAAGTCTTTACAGGGAATCAGACTTAGACTGCTCACCTCTCTAGCTTCAACAGCACAAGGTCTGCTTCGACTATCAAGGCACCCGAAAATAGCAGGTCACAAGAGAGTGACAAACATACAAAAGAAGTAGAGGAAAATAATTCCCTTTTGTAGATCAGGCACAGTTATGAGCGTGACATGAGTCAGCCCATTTACAATTCTACTATGCTTGAACGAGAAATGTCCCCCCTTTGGGAATGGCCTAAAGACACTTCAGTCAGTGGCACTGCCCCAGGGGGTAGGACTTGGCTGATGTTGGAATTTGACTTCTCACTTCCCGACAAATGCTTTGTACGGTATACTCTGTCTTCTTTTGTTCCAGTTGCTTACATCACTGATGCAAGAATTTGACCCCGCAATTCCTTACATTTTGTCATTCTTTTTTTCTCCATTTTACCTGCTTCATACATTCAAGAATCTGACCACTTGATTCTCAATAGTAGTTTTTAAAGTACTTTTAATTCTTTTTTTTTTTTTTTTTTTCAGCTGCTGACATCACTGATGCAAGAATTTGACCACTCCATCCCCAACACGGAGCTGACTGCCATGAGCACCCTGTCAGACGTCATCACCTTCTTCTCTACCCCGGTGCGGGATCGGTCATCATATGAGGATATGTCCACTCTCAACCTGCCTAAAAACCTTCACATTCAGCTAGAGCCTCTCAGATTCAGCGCCGATAGCGATACTTTCTTTGATGGCAAAACTGCTTTCCCGGACCGTCCGACAGTCGTGAGTAGCCTGAAGTACAGTCGCAAGTTTAAGGGCAATGAAGGAGAGTCTCGGAACCAGCCCAGTCTAACAAATTTTGAGAAGGAAAAAATGTTGCAGGAGGATAGAGAGATAAGGAGGAGGGATATTCTTCCGTCTGAAGGGAGAAAAAGAAGGCCGAATACACATCGGCAGATTGAGACGGAAGTGCCGTTTATTTAGGATTTTTTTGTTGTTGATTTGTATTTTAGATGGCCTCGTGTGATATGTTTCATCTGCTGAGTACCTGGTGTGGAAGTGAGGATTTTTTTAAGAAATGTGTTTTTTTTAAACTATGTACCGAGTTAGAAGGACAGTTTTGTCTGTGAATGTTGAAAATGTAAGTGGGTGTGAACAAATGAAAGAATAAATACGTAGTACATTTTGTGATTTTGTTTGTTGTTTTATGTCGGAAGGTTTCGTACATGATGTCCCCAAATACTTTTTGTTGCAGGATTTATTAATTACAAGTGAAAATGAAAGCTAAAGAATTTATTACATGAGTTGTGGTGGTAGGGTAGATCATCATTTATCCTATGAGTGAAATTTGCCAAGTTGTAATCTCTTTCTACGAGTGATTACAACTGGCAATTTCACATGTAGGATAAATCATGGTCTACCACCATAACAAGTGTAATAAATTTTTTATACCATACTGATATCTGCTGGCGAGATACATCCGTACCAACAAAGTTAAAATGACCAGCCAATTGGACAAGAGGATTCATTCAAGAGCCTCACACGAAAACAAAATTTTCATGCCCGTCAAAGTCAGAGTGAAGACTGGAAAAAATCTGGATTGTTTTCCTTTATCATGCTATCCGTATGTTAGATCTGCATGTTTGCCGACAATCGTCTGAAATCCTACAATCGCGACCCGACCCGCGAGCCGGCCGATACTATCGCTAGGCCTACCTGTATAGGTCAATGTGCGAGGCCTGGCTGACTGCCAGAGCCCCCTTTTTCTCCCGTCGGCTTTGTCGGCACTTTCGTTTTCGTGCCGACTGCCGACGTGGGCATTTCCGACATAATTGTCGGAACCTGAGTAGAAATACGAATACGAAAAAGGACGACGACCTAAATTAATCTATCTACTTTCAGTTTCGTGCTAGAGCGGCCATTTTGAATTTCGTTTGTTGACTGTTCATGTGGATTCATTCTTAGATTGAGTCCGACTTGCTTGTTCTAGATCTAGATCTAGATTTATAGATCATAATAGACCTCAATGGAGGATTCATATTCCAATTCTATTGTGTCAAACCCTATTATAGGTTGTGCTGTAATATTAATGCTGGTAAAAAGCATTTCATCAGGTGCGTGAACTAGACATAGAAATCTAGATCTATTTATTTAGAATCATAGACTCAGCTAAGTCCCTCTCTCTGTTCGAGTGTTCGGAGTCGGATGCGGATTTCTCGTTTAAGTCCTCCTATTCCTATTCACTTGTTCTTCTAGATCTAGACTCTAGATTTATTTAGAATCTAGATTACTAGATCTATATATGGAGGATTCATATTCCAATTCTATTGTGTTATTGTCTCCCTCCACGAAATAAACCCCAAATAAAACAATAATAACATAAGCATAGGCAAAGTTAGCAGAAAACGTACGATTCAAAAGTTGAAAAATTAAGAAACTGCATTTATATGACATGTTGTCGGAGAATAGAGATTCTATCACTTTGATTTCAAATTTTGCAACCAAAACAAACCAAAGGCGAGAAGTAGTTTGCAAGGATAGAGTGTTTGGACTGGCTAGCATTGCATTAAAATACATTGCCGCACTCAGTCGTAATCCCGGTTCACTTTGGTGCGCACCATTCGATGCTATTTGGAACAAAATTAAGGGCAGTGTAGAGAGTTGTGCCTTCTCTCTACTAGATCTAATAGGGACAGTCAGTGGGAGACTGGTGTTTGACACTTCATTTAGGCGCCTAGGGTGAGTGCGCTTTGCAATGAAGTTTTTAGGGAGAAAGAGCGGCTACTATAACAGTGCACGATCTGGGAAATATTATGATTCAAGACTATACTACTACTTTGTTTACTGAAGGTTGGAAGACAAATATACTGTGCAGAGTAATTTATGAAAATTTTTATATTTCACGTGTAGAAATATGAGGATTTATTTTAGGGAGTGCTTATTTCTGTCCCCGTAGAATTATGCGAATTTAGATGGCCAAATTATGCAAAAAAAAGCCAAATTATGCAAAAATTATGCAAGTTACTGTAACAGTAACACCTTTCGCGACATGTTTTGCACTTTTTCAACACAAATTTTCATGACTTTTATGGGGTTTTTTGGGGGTTTTTTTATAGTAGAGTGTTTTACGGCGCTCGCAACTGCATAGGTCATATGAGCGCGCGGGACACACCTAATATTTTCAGTTGGTGGGAAATTTTGAATTTTTACCCGGGTGGCGGCCGAAGCCTACTCTTATCGATTTTAGACCACCAAGGGATCTTTAACGTGCGCAATTTGCACACGGGCCCTTCGAGATTTTTCACCCTTGTCCGAGAAGGCTAGATGTAGATCTTTCCTACCAGAAGATCAGGGGTGTGGCTGAAAGACTGCAGTAAGAAGAAGCGAAGGAGTAGCAGTAGAAAGGCTGCAGAAAGAATCAGGAGCCCAGAGGAAGGGGCAAAGGAGGTGACGGGGTGAGGGCAGAAAGTGGAGACCAAAGCAGACGACAGAACATTGCTAGAGAGCAGGAAATGAGGTGAAAGGAGACAAATTTAGAGAAGAAACTTTTTCGATCGCTACCCGGATTCGAACCCGGGACCTTTTGAGTGAGAGGCCAACAGCTTAACCTCTAGGCCACGAGAGCCCCCTTTTATGTTTAAAGTACAGAAAAATTTAAAACAGAACATATCAGTATCAGTAATTTGTAGCGTATTTGGAAAGAAAACAATACACATCTCTGTTTAAAAAAAAAAACAACTAAAAAATATAATCTCTATAACTTTCAGATCTAGATTTCTAGATCTAGATCTAGATCTGGGAAAGAAAAATGTAAAAAAAAAAAAATTTTTAAAGGGACATCTGGACCTCTGATGCTGGCACATTACTAAAACCAGGAACACCTGTCATACATGAAACATCAGCAGACATGAGAACAACAACTTTTGATGGATTGAAAAATTGAACATGCTCAAGGAACAAAATCCCAAAATATAACCAAGATCTTCTACCAAGAGAAATAACCAACTTTTCACTTAAATAAGACTTATTACGGTGATTATTTCCCTTTAGTCACATGGCGAGGCGTTAATTAATAAAATTAATTGTTTTGTTTTTTTAAAAAGGGGGAAAAACGCGGGGAATCCAAAATTATGCAAATGTGCAGAATTACGCGAAAAAAACGCGGCCGCACAATCGCATAATCCTACGGGGACAGTTATTTAGGCCACCAAAAGTGCAAGATAGTTTTTTTTTCATAGTCGGGTTGTTAAAAAATAAAAAGCTCTATTCAATGCACAATTAATATTGGATTGGCTATTCTTACGATGCAAAGGCCTGTTTATTTTTAATGTGCACGAGCCAAGCGCTTCGTCGTCACACGCAAAAGACCTCAGTTCGATTCCCGTATGGGGAGAAATTTTTAATGAGAACCTCCGTCTTTCTGCTGGGGCGTTGTTCCCTCTCAGCCCAGGTTGGCCCTGACATTGGGTTGAAGTCGGCCTAGCCCGTCTCTTAAATGTTCTGTATTGTGTCATTGTGAGTGTAACACATCTACAAAATAGGTTTTATATACGATACAAAAGCCAATTACAACGACCCCTGGAGTTTTCCATTCTGTCTAGGGTAATCTAAGTCTACTTATTCTTATTACTACCAGAAACCTAGGTCTCTGTTACTACAATACCACGCTCCATCTCACTTATCCACTCGCTTAGCTGATCAACGGCGGGAAATTAATAATAACTTATGCAGTTTTTGGGACACATAAATCTGGCCCCGCGGAAAATTGCATTTTTGAAACAGAAATATAGCAAAAAATTGTCTTAGACGGCCTCCTCAGTCCTTCCATTACGTTTTGTCATAAATTGTGCATTGGCCCCTGGCGTTGTGGGCGAGCCGTCATAATCCAATCACTTATCGTTGTTGTTATGTAGTCCCTCCAACCGATCATGTTGCGTAGGCCCCTCCCACTAGCTGTTGACTAATAGGTACCAATTTTCAGCTGCTGGTGAGGTAAGCATGTGATCCTTCATACTGTCCCCGTAGGACATTTGCATAATTTGGGATTATCCGCGTTTTTTCACGTTTTTTTCCACAAAACAATTAATTAACGCCTCGACATGTGACTAAAGGGACGTAATCACCGTAATAAGTCTCATTTAAGTGAAAAGTTGGTTATTTCCCTTGTTAGATCTTGATTTTGGGTTGTGATTTTGTTCCTTGAGCATGTTCAATTTTTCAATCCATCAAAAGTTGTTGTTCTCATTCTGCTGATATTTCATGTTTAACAGGTGTCCCTGGTTTTAGTAATGTGCCAGCATCAGAGGTCCAGATGTCCTTTCTTTAAAAACTTTTTTCTTTCCTCTATAGATCTAGATCTACAGCTGAAAGTTACAGAGATTTTTTATTTTTTTTACTGATGTGTATTGTTTTCTTTTCCAAATACACAACAAATTACTGATACTGATATGTTCTGTTTTCAATTTTTCTGTACATAAAACATGAAAATCAAGAAATTTCGTGTTGAAAAAGTGCAAAACATGTCGCGAATGGTGTTACGGTAACTTGCATAATTTTTGCATAATTTTGCTTTTTTGTGCATAATTTGGCCTTCTAAATTTGCATAATTCTACGGGGACAGTTCATAACCCGTAAGCCCCGCCCAGAACTCATACACAAATCGTAAGTGAGATGAGTGGTCACTGTTTACCCAGTCTGTAACAAAGGACGTCAACATATGAGCTTGCGACAGAAGCGTCGCTCGTTCTCCGAGTGGTGGCGACCCATGTGTTTGTTTAAACATGGCACTCAGTCTTCCTCGTCTGATACATTTCGTTTTATTGTCACCTTAGCGCAAAATCAGCAACAGAATAAAAAATAACAAACAAAATAAACCAACAACAACAATGCAGCTACTTTCGATTGGGACTTCAGATGGAAATGGTTTGCTTTCTTCATCTTGATCAGTCCTGCCTAAGACGGCCACCTGTCTTATACGACCACTTTTCTCCTTGACAATGGGTGGCTGTGTAAGACGGAATCGCAAGGGAGCCAGAAAAAAATTCCGTCTTAGACATGGGAATTTAGGGGGAGATGGAGGTTGGGGGGGGGGGGGAGTTCAAAGGCCCAGCCGGTGGGATCAACATCAAGGATCGCTTGTCCGATCGCAAACAGTGGTTAAAACTTCACACCTCTCAATTGCTATCCTGTCTGATAATGACATGCGTCAGTCTTCCTTATAAATCAAATTACCACCAGTGCTTGCCTTTCATAGGACTACTGTCTAACCTATATTTAAAAACAGATACGTTTGAACATCTCCTTTGCTTCCACCCTTAGCCCCACCCATCGGTGTAACAAGCACAGTCAACCAAAGCCACCCCTTACTGCCATCATTGTAACAACGATTCGAGGAACTCTTTTCTCGGCTGGCCTACGATCAGGGCGGCAGGCATTGGTCAATCTAATTTCACACCTCTGGCCTGGCTACCCAGGAAAGTTTCCATAGTGGCTCGCTACTTTCAGGGCTTACGTGATGGGGTAACATCTACCCCCAAATTGTACCCCTACTCCCCTACCTCGCCCAGCGGCATGGCCATAGCGTTAAGTTTAGAGTCGGCGGAACCAAACTTGCGAGATTTGTTTCAAATCAGGGCTGAGCGGACAAAGCATTTTCCGTCTCCAGGTAAAACCCTCGGAAGGGAGCGGAATTTTCTTTCCGTTTCTGCGTTGGACAGGTTTCCGTTTTAAACAGGTAATTAAAGAGGAATATATCAAGGGGGGAGGGTTGTGATTCCGTTTAGACAGGTTTCCGTTTTACACAGGTTTCTGTTAAGGCAGGTTCGACTGTGTATATATATATACATGTGTTATGTTAGAGCGCGTCTCCACCAAAACCGAACACATATGTACTGACATAGGCCCCTTAAGTGTCATTCCATAATTTACATTATGTAAGTGGGTGGTTGGCGGTTGCTCTGGTGTGGTATGTTCCTTCTTTCCTATCAAACATCTTATATCGTCCTTATCTCCCCTTCTTCTTTTTTTATGTTTGTTACTCTCTTGTAACACCTCTAATCTTCTGGCGCTCATATGAACTTATGAAATTGCGAGCGCCGAAAAACCTCTACTAAACACCCCCCCCCCCCCCCCCAAAAAAAAAAAACAACAACAACAACAACAACAACCAAACAACAACAACAACAACAACCAAACAACAACAACAACAACAACCAAAAAACAACAACAACAACAACAACCAAAAAACAACAACAACAACAACAACCAAAAAACAACAACAACAACATGATGTAATATCCTATACGTTTTCTTGAATTACCCTCGTTTAGGGTTAAAACGGCCAATCTTTGGATAGATGGACGCACGCCCTTATCAGTTAATTTGTGTGGTTGTTAAGGCTATACGTGCTGTTCTAATTTTGATTTCATTCTATTGTGGTACCTTTATTTTTCACGTTTTTACACTCTGTATGTCTACATGATTTTCTGGATGCTTAAAATAGAGCTCAAGAAATTCTGGTGCTTGAGATTAAGTTGCCTTTATCAAGGTATGATACGTCGTCACAGAGAGTTGAAAGCTTGAAAATAAATTGCCACTTTTATGGCAACTTTTGCCATTTTTGTGGCAACTTTTGGACAAAAAATGGCAACAAACGCAGATGCTAGATAAATAGACATAAGGGTCTTGAACACCTAGCTCTCACTGGCAAAACTGAGGGCAAGCGAGAGGGATAGGCCCAGAACAACATACTTGGGTAATCTTAACAAATGGGTAACAGGGAAAGATTAGGAAAACGCATAACTTTTTTGAGAGCATCCGAGCAAAGGAATGAATGGAGAACCATGATCACCGATGTCTGTCACAGATCTGGCACTGGATGATGGATCTGCCCAATCTGAACGGTCTCTGAATAAAACGTTCGTTCTTAGAATCTAGATTTCAGTGCGTGAGTCGGGTAGCCTTAGCCCTATAAGAAACCTGTTGAGTACACAGCTCTCATTACTCATTAGTAATCATTCGGGTTTAAAATACACGCAGTGTCTGTCAGTAAGGCACCTGGTTTCGTCCTGCATGCAAACTAAAAATTTATTTACAATTCAGTAGGCCTATTGTTTTCTGTTTGCGGGTCTAGCCATAAGCAAAGATACTCATGGAGAGTAGTGGAGTATCTTTGAAGTACGGCTAGCCTAGCAGTCTAGCCGTCATTAAGTACGGCTAGCCTCTTCCTAATAATTATGATAGTAATAATAATAATGATAATAATAATAATAATGATAATAATAATAATAATAATCATCATCATCATCATCATCATCATCATCATCATCATCATCATCATCATCATAATAATAATAATAATCATAATAATAAATTGACCGAATACAACAGTTAAAGGCTGAGAGGCCTACTGCTAAAACTGTTCTAAAGGTCTTCATACTTGTTTGATCCTAGAAAATGGACGCAATATCTTGGTCTTCTATGCTTGAACTTGAACGTATCAAATTTGGAACATGAAGTCAGTTTGACTCTTCATGGCAATGTTTATTCGCTTTTATAGAAGTAATTGTGTGTACATGTTAGGGTAGTGTCATCATTGACATTTTGACTGTGTTATCAAGATTGCTGACATTTTCTACACAAGTAAACAAATGGACACCAACCAACACTGTGAGGAAGACACAACAATAACAATGTCACATGTGTGTAGACTTAACTCTGGAAATGATAATGGCTGTGGATGTGTGAAAACTTGTGATTTATTTGTTCCTTGTTCTTCTGGAGAAATAGTGAATCTTGGGATTGATAGCATAGTTGTTAAAGGTGAACCTAGATCTATGTCTAATTCTGGGACTAGATCTAGATCTAGTACTAGACCTAGATCTAGTACCGGTACTCTTTATACTAACAGTTTAAGTAGGGAAGATGTAAAACAACATGACATTATAGGCAGAGAAATTGAATCTGTGGGTGTTGATGAGGAACATCTATCAGTAAAAGAAGAGTCCAGTTTTGAATGTCCGTGTGACGTCAAGGCCGAGACAAATGACAAACTGAACGTTGAAAGTGAAAGTAGCCAGACTCTCAGACGCAGTGTAGTAAAAGATGAGCCTATCTGTATAGAGGAGGAAGACGTGAAACCTGTCATTAAACCAGAGTGTCTCACAGATATCTGTACGGTGAGAACCGAACCACTATTGGGACATTTTCCTGACTTTGGTGATGAAGTGAAACCAAAAGTGGAGAATTTTGTGAAAGATGAAGTGTCAGAATGGGAAGGTCCAGACTTTTTAGAGGTAGGAAAGACAGAAGGACAAGTGGGAGATGTGGAGGATACGTGTGCTGAGCCCATGTTTGTTGAGGATCACATGAGTCAGGCTGGAGGACTACAGCTGCAAATCTCCAATGTGAGGAGCTTGTGTATGGAGCAGAGTGCCAACCCCGACACTGATGTTGTTGCTCCCAGTAGTCCAACTTCAACTTTCTCTGCCGATCCAGTCACAAGTTCAGGATCTGTTGTCAGGGCCAGCTGGGATCACGGTGAAAGTTCTGGTACGTAGAATCCTTCTGTGTGTGGACTTTTTGATACAGTGTGTTCTGCATTTCTTGATGCGGTTTGTCAAGTTGTCAGTTGTTAAAAAATGAGCAATTCCATGACGTGCAAGGTACATCATGCAGTTGTACTGGCATGACAAATTTATTGGGCCCGACGTACATATGTTCATTGAATCTGAGTGTTTATAGACTTTATTTTAAATAAAAGAATACCACGAAGAAATGTAAAGTGTTTCAAAGTAGATCTGCTTTTATTGGATCAGAAAAAGCTGTAGCGGCAATGGAACTGCTGTTGATATATATATTAAAATCCAAAAAAGTTATCACGGCTCAAATTCATTCTAAATGTAGAAAATTTCACGCGGCATAAAAACATAAAAGCAAAAAGCAGGACTTGGAACGGTCGGACAATTTATGCAATACACAGTGAAACTTGATCTATCTAGATCTAGTGCAAAATATCATAAAGTGGTTTGGTCTTACGTTGGATTTTATTGAATCTGAGAGTCCTTTATAGCTCAATGTGAGCAACGAGTTGTGGCACAATGCTTAGCACACGCCAATGTCTGTTTCCACAAACCAGTGCTCAATTCATTATAATAGATTTACATCTATCATGTCTAGACTTCCCTTTCATTGTTCAGTAGCCGGGGAGTGGGGGTGAATATGATTGTGACACACATTTTTATCGAAGTGGCTAGCCGTACTTAAGTACGGCTAGACTGAGAGTCTAGCCGTACTTAGATCTAGATTTGGCCCTATCGACTCAAGCCTGTTAAGTACACAGGTCTCATTAGATCTAGATCTAGTAATTATTCAGGTTCAAATACATGCAAGTCAGTAAGGCACCTTTTTGTTTTGTCTGAAATACAAATACTTTGGGCATTGCAAACTAAAAATTTCATTAACAATTCAGCCATCAATATTAAGTACGGCTAGCCTGACAGTCTAGCCGTCCTTAAGTACGGCTAGCCTGGCTGTCTACCCGTACTTAAGTACGGCTAGACTGCCAGTCTAGCCGTACTTATCTTAGGCCCTATTAACATTAGAAAACAGGAGGTTTAAAATACATGCACTGTCATCAAGGCACCTGGTTTCGTCTCAAATACAAATACTTTAGGTACTGCACACTAAAAATGTATATATATATACAATTCAGTAGGCCTATTTTTTGTTAAATGGTCAGTCTAGCCATCATATTCAGAATTTGTACAGCTAGACTGCCAGTCTAGCCGTCATTAAGTACGGCTAGCCTCTTCCCATTTTTATCTCTGTCGACTTTCAATGGGCCAGAGGTACACACTAAAAACAGCACACAGCACTCACTCGGCGGCTGATTGTATAATCTCTTTCTGAACTTTCTCATGTACGTCTCTGTGAGATCTGCGGTTTTCTAGTGTTTGTCCTGCCTCAACATCTAGCTTCTGATCCAGCAGAAATGTTCCAGAAAGTTCAGCTGGAGCAGTACAGTAGTCTCCGCCTAAACTCACGCTCCGCTCAAATGCATGCTTTCGTCATCTGGCTGGTTTTTTACTCATATAATTCAGATGTACGAACGCTTGGTCACTCCCTCTAAACGCATGCTCCGATCCCCGAAACATGTCGACAAGTAAAGCTTGACAAGGGGAAATTTTCACTACTACCTGCACAGCCTGCATAAGACAAGCCTAGAAAATTGGTGAGCGTGCCCCTCATGCCGAACAAAGAGAGTGATGGACAGTACAGCTTTCATTTCACATCCAACTTTCCACTGACACCTAGGTCTAGGACCGGTCGGTGAAAAGTGGGGGGGGGATTTGAGGGGACTGAAATGTTCTTTGATTGGTCACTGGAAATTGTCTTTGAGAGAAGGTTTCTGACTGGTGTTTGAGTGACTGCGTGTAATGTTTAGTTAGATCTAGGCCTGATGCGCGACACCCGTAAATGCCATAAAACACTAGATCTAGACAGGATTAAAGATTAGCCAAGTAAGCCTAATCAGCTGCGCTCGAAGTAGAACTTATATAACGTACTTGTTCATCGAATCACAAGAGAAATGAACGTTGAGAATGATTCTGCATGAAGTTACGATCGGGGTGGTCGCTTGGAAAGCCGTGTGGCTGGTCCGTTGTCTCTATGACTATGACTTTCACCAACGGTTTCCTCTTAGGCTATCTGTTCCCAACGTTTATAGTGCATATTTTCATTACATTGAGTCTGCCATTCTCCTTCCCCCCATTCAACACTTTTGTATTCTTAACCCCAGTCGGGGAATCCTTCACGAAACAGTCCCGTGTCATCACATTTTCTGCCAAAATGACCCCCTCCTTCCAAAGGAGATCACTAGAGTAATTAGGAATTGAAATGACCGCCTACTTTCCTCCCTTAGCAAAGGTTTATGTAAACACACACTCCGTATTTAAGCATACACGCTAAGGAGCCCTCACGAGCACCGTGAGTTTAGACGGAGACTACTGTACCTGTTGCAATTGGTTATTTCTTGTTTTTCCCCTGCACATGGCAATCGCGCTAGACAGATCTAGATGAGTCAAGATTGGCCACAGTTTAATTGTCTCTAGTCTCTGCCAGTCTATCACAGGTCAAAATGACTTTTTGTGAGTCCATCCCGTTATACTCGCCAGCCCTACTGTACCGCCAACTTCATGCTCATCCCAAGGTAGGCAGACGTAGGCTACATTTTAAAACCCCTTTACCTGATTCTCATTAGTCCCAGACCTTTTGCGTATCACTGTGAGCCCACAGAAGCCTTGTCACCAGATACATCGACAAATTGAGGTGGCACGGTTCTTTTGAAGTTTCTCCAGACGTTTATTTATTTTATGGTTTATGTTTGTGAACAGGAGAAAAGCAAATGGTTTGTGCCGTTGGTTTTTTTAATGGTAATGGTAGTGAGGTGCAACTACTGGTGGCTACAGCTTGGCATGGAGAGCTAAAGGGTGGACAGTTTAGGCAAAATAACATTATAACATATAATGTGTATAAATAGAATATATTGTAGTTTTGTGCTACGATAGATGTGCAGTTCCATCTCCTTTGAAATTAAAAGAAAGTTCGGTTAAATGGTTGTCAGTGTCATAGACTCACTGTCCACTTCCTCATTCCATCACACAGTGACATGACAAGGCAAACTATCTTTTCTTTGACTTTATGCCTGTACAACGCAGACGTGCTGACCATTTTTTTTGGTCATTCCTTTTTGTGGGTCGGTGGAAAGAAATCACAGGTCTCCAACGTTAACGATTACAGAAAATAACCCAGTGTTCCTGTGGTTGTTGTGTGTTCCTTCTCTTGAAATGTAAAAAAATGACATGATGTTTGAGAAAAGGTGGCCTAGTGGTTAGGCTCTCGGACTCGCAACCGTAAGGTCGTGGGTTCGAATCCCGTCAGGGGCCCGACGTTGTGTCCTTGGGAAAGGCACTTTACACGAATTTTCCTCACTTCACCCAGGTGGGAATGGGTACCCGGCTATAGACAGCGAAAGATCTTGTCAGTTTGTTAGTGTTTGAGCGCTTAATCAGCTGCTTGCACTGTATGCTTCCCGGGAAGCTGAGAATGTTTCTGAGTGTTCTATGGTCTGCTTGGGTAATAATATAGTGTAAAGCGCATAGAGCCTGCTGTAGAACGGGGATATGCGCTATACAAATGCTATTTATTATTATTATTAAAAGCTCAAGTGGGATGAATGTGTAGACAGAGTAAATTTCAGGCTTGTGTTTTAAGTGTGTAGGATAGCAACCACATCTCATCTTGATCATTCGTTTTCTGTTGTTAGATTCATTATAATATATTATTTATATTATCTGTTAGATAAACTTGGGTAGATATCTCGTTCATAATAAAGAGAATACGGCAGAACACGATTACAGCGGCACCCGCTACAGCAGGGCCATCCCCACAGCGGGACCTTACCGGAATCCCCTTTTTTTCTCTATGTAAACTTGATTACCTGTGCTCGGGTTTAGCGGGGCAAGGAAAGTCCCGAACTCGGATACAGCAGGAGAGATCGAGCGAGCTTTATCTGGGGGGAGGGGGGGGGCTGTAGACCGGCTCCAAAACAGGCAGTCAACGGTGCAGCGTTGTGAATGGCCAGTCCAGTGATGAGTGAGGTGTGGCAGAGAGGGATGGTGCGGAGAGACGCGTTACGTGAGCCACTCCAAAAGTTATTTATGTGCAGTAGCTGAGAGGCTCAGTATGAGAGCGTATAGGCCATAGCCGTATGCCTAGGCTAGACCAAAAAGTAAAAGAAGAGAGCATGCAGTGCTATTCCGGATCCATTGAATTGTGATCATTGATGCTCATAGGCACGCATCCACTTCACCAGTTCTACAGTTGCTCTTCCGATATGATAGGCAGCACAAGCAACGAAACCGAGGAAAAGATGGCTTCCAACAATGACAATAACAAAAGGAAATGTTTCTCTCTCGAATTAAAAGCCGAGATAATCAACGACGTTGACAAGAAAAGGAAGACTAATCAAAAGCGCAACTTTTATTGCTATGGAAGTGAGATATTCATGTGGATTTTTATAAGTTTTTCGGTAAATTCCCCTTTGCATTCCTATAGCGGGTACTCGCTTTACAGCAGAATTGTTATTCTGGAACAAAATGTCCCGCTATAGCCGTGTTTAATTGTAGTAAGATAACTTAAAATAATAATAATGGATTGCATTTATATAGCACATATCCACTTATGCAATGCTCTATGCGCTTAACATGATACATATTATGGATTTACAAATCAGTTTTAAAGGTATATAGTGTTACATACTCATGCAAACACATATTCACTCACGCACGCATCACACACACATACATACACACATACGTACATATGCACAAACGCACATACAAACTCACAACGATCTACAGCTTGGATGCATTCTGTCTAATCGAAATATGATGAAAATAGAAATGATTTTAGTTTCTTCTTAAAAATTTATAGATTTTCTGCTTCTCCGATAGTTTTTGGAAGCCTATTCCAAACAAGTGGGGCAAAATATGAACAAGAGCGTTGGCCGTATGATTTGTAATTTATTTTAGGCTTAACAAGGGTTGTTTTGTCACTTGATGATCTGAGCGTTCTAGGAGGCACATAGGGTGTTAAAAGCTGTTTTAGATAGTCCGGTGATAAATCATTTAAGCACTTGTAGCAAGTTAAACAGATT